GGGGTGCGGGGCTGAGCCCCCCCCCCCGGGGCTGGGGGGGACACGGCGGCATCGCCAGCAGGCCCTGACCCCCGCACCCTCTCGTCCATCCCTGCTGAAGCGTGCGGGGCTGAAGCCAGGTCCCGGCTCCTTGCAGCCCCCAGCACCCATGGGTGGGTCGCTGCCCCCGCTACCCGGGGGCTTTGCCTTCCCTCCCCGGGGAGGGGGGCTTACCTTGGGGATGGGGTTGGGAGGCTGGGTGCTATTGCACTTATCCAGGTCCTTTTGCACCTTCTGGGCGAGGACCTGCAGCCCTTGCTTCTCCTTGAGGGTGGCGTTGAGGGTGCGCGTCAGGTTCATGTTCCTCCCGCTGAGGGTGATGATCTTGTTGTAGCGATCCTGCAGCTGCTCCTCCAGCAGCCGGAGGTGCGTGTCGGTGCCCGCCTGCGCGTTGCCGTACACCATGAACAGCACCAGCCCCAGGATGATGAGGAATTGGATGAGGGAGGTGAAGAGGAAGATGTACTTCACATAAAACCCACAGTCCCGCTTGGGCATCGCCTCCTTGGCCTCCAGACCAAACTTGGCCATGGCGTAGCTGCTCTTCTCCATCCTGCCGACGCTCTGCGCACCCCACCCCGCGGCAGCCCCTTTCAACGGGGCTGCGCTGGGGCGGAGCTCGCTCCCACTGCCGTGTTTATATTGCTCTGTCTAATACTTCCTTCTGCTGGGCTCTTTCCTGCCTCTCCGGATGCCTCGGACCCGCCAGGTTATCACGATGCAGCTTCTGTTTTGCAGGAGGACTATTGTTCCCGGTTGCTAATGAATGGGGCTGAAGCCGGGGACCCTGCTCCCCCTCCCTGTGCTGGAGCCCGGCGCTCCCTCGGGACTGGCTCTCACCCTGAAATAGCCCCCGGCACGGCGGGCACCGGGGATGCCGGGGAACGAGTCCCCGGGAGCAGGCAAGGTGGGCTGCGGCTGCTGGTGCTCGCAGGTGGGGTGATGGAGGAGGATCCCACCACCTGCACCGGGCGCCCCAGGTTGGTCCTGGCGCCGTGTCCTCGTGGTGGGACGGTGACATGTGAGTCACCGCCAGACCCCACAGCTCGCCAGGTCGGTGGCACGCAGGGACTGATGCTCCACATCTGCTCTCCTGCACCTTGCGGGCAGCTGGCGGGCAGGGGAAGGATGCGGCCAGGCCCTGGCTTGCAGGTAGGGTGGCAGTGGGCTGGGGTGGGTGATGCGGGGCCACGGGATGAAGCCACCGGTGGGAACCCATGACTGTGGGGTCCATGGGTGCTGTCACCCCGCAGAGCCACCGTCCCGCTGCGGGGCCCAGGGAGCTGCTCCTGGTCTCTGTCCCCTGCTGGGGACATCTCTGCTGGGCAGAGAGCAGCCGGTGGAGGGGAGCAAGGGGCAAATCCAGACCTCTCCGTGCCCACCTGTGGGACCACCAGGTCCACAGGCTGCCGAGGAAGCCCCAGCCGAGCACGTGGAGCACGGGTGGCCCTGGCCTCGTGTGAGGATGGCCACCCATGCCAGCGCCGCTGCCACGGCGGCTCAGCCCAGCCAGGCACGGATGGAAAGAGCTGTCCATCTCCCCCCTCCTGCTGCAGGTCTGGGGTCCCCTGGGCCCTGCGCCGGGCTGAGGGGGGAGCCTGGGGGTGCGGGCTGGCTTGGGGACAGGCTGGGGACATGGAGGAGGCTCCTCAGTGCAGGGAAAAGGGGTTGCGTCGGGTGCGGGCAGCACCGTGGCAGGGACTGGAGGGAGGGGGGATGCTGCCTCTCCGACCCTTGGCACCGGTGACCATGGACTGGGTGTCCGCGCTGCAGGACCGGCATCCCCGGCTCTGTTCGGATCCCAGCCGTGGCCATCGCCACCCCGTCCCCATCCCATGGGTGCCCTGGGCTGCAGTGGAGGGGCTGGCTGTGCTCAGGACCCCCCTAGCTCTGCCCAGGACCCCCCCAGCCCTGCAGGATGCCCAGCCCCGGCTGGGGGGGGCTGGCTGGGGGGGCCGAGGTGTGAGGCCGCGCCGGGCGCTGACCCCGAGCCGCTCGCTGTTTCCTGCCTTCTGGCTGCGCCGCGGTCCCTGGGGACCGGGAAGTGTCTGCGATGGCCAGGATGGTGTCGGTCCTGAATCCATTCTCAGCTACTGCCGTTTCCTTCCTGAGCTGCAAATAACGGTGAGTCACCCCCGGCCCCCCCGGCCCCGCCGCGGGGACGCTGCCGGGGCTCTGCCAGACCCCTGACCCTGGGACCCCAGTGTGCCGCTGGCTTTGCTGGTCGGATGCTCCCTCTGGCAGCCCACCCCAAGGGCTCCCCGCAGCCCCCCGGGGTCACTGGGGATCCCAACGGGGTCTCCAGCCCCCGGTGCTGCAGACCCTGCCTCTGCCCCACTTTCCAATTAGCCTCCCAGCTATAATTAATCCTTCCCGTGCCAAGGGCTGGCGCTGCGGTGAGGTCGGGCCATGGGAATGGCTCTGCCCGCTTCCCCTCCCTGTCCCAAGCTGCTGCGGGGCTGGGGTCCCCGCTCTGGGACCACTGCGTTTGGGGTGCGGGAACAGGGCTGATGCCCCCCGCCATGGGCTCTGCAGCCTGGGGAGCCCTGACACAACCGGGGGCTGCCTCGCAGAGGCACTGTCACCTGGAAAACCGCCTGCCAGCACCTTCCCTGGCCCCCAAGGCGGGGGGCAGCGGGGGGCACGGGAGACAATCCCCCACGGGGAGCGCAGGCAGGAGGAGGCCGGATGCCTGTGCACGGCCGGCCTGCCCTCTGCACAGGATACCGCGGCGGCAGCGGCAGGAAAATCTGCAACTTTCCTGGAAACCTTCTTCAAAGTGGATCAAAGATGCTGGGAAGTGACCGCAAACCAGCAGCAGCTGCTGATCCCCGTCCCCCCCTCCCCGCCTCAGCCCCGCAGCCCCGGCTGAGCCCCCCCGGGGTGCCTGAGGGGTCCCTGGCAGAGCCGGCTCCTGCCCCGGCACCGCTGGGCACCGCGGAGGCAGAGCCCAGTGAAAGCCCTGGGGTGGGTGCGGTGCCGGAGCAGGGCAGGGGGACGGCTGGGCTCGGGGGGACCGGGGCACAGCCGGGCTGGTGGCACGGGGAGACGTCCCGCTGAGCAGAGCAGCCTTTATTGCCCAAACGCCTGCCCAGTCTTCCCAGTTCCTGGAGCACGTTGGGAACGTGGCATTAAACCCCGGAGCTGATCCAAGAGCAGCTCCAAGCAGCCGGTGGGGAAACCATCCCTTGGCTGAGCTAAAACTCTGCCCAAAAGCTGGACGACCGACGCCTCTGGTCCTGCCGTCCTGCTGCAGCGGTGGCATCGGGACACGCGGCAGGATAACGACAGGCGGCAGGATCAGGACACGTGGTGGCATCAGGACACACGGCGGGATCAGGACACGCGGCAGCATCACGACAGGCGGCAGGATCGGGATACACGGTGGGGTCAGGACTCCCAGTGACCACCAGCATCGTTCATCTGGACGTGCTGGCTCCGGTCAGCCACGGCCGCTGCTGGGTCCCAGTGCTAAGGGGCGCTGTGGGACTGGGAATGCTGGGCTCAGCTGGGCGGGGGGGCCCGGCCCCCAGCCCCCGGCCGGGAGGGGGTTGGGGGGCTGCGGGGCTTCAGCCCTTCCTGCAAAAGAGGGGAGGGCAGGGAGTGAGTGCCCGCACGGCCCCCGCGTCCTGCTCCCCTGGGGACACCGGTGACAATGGCGCGTGCTGGAAGCGTGCCCGCGAGCACCCAGCCTGGCTGCGCCGGTGAAGCCCCCTCCCCAGACCCACGCCTGGAGCATCTCCCCCTGCCACGCCGGCAGGGAGCACCCACAGAAAGTACCGGGACGGGGGGCACCTGCGCCCAGTCGCTCGGTCCCTCGCCCGCCGCCGCAGCGCGTCGACCTCGGCTGCGTAGTCCCGCCTGCGGGGAGAGCGAAGCCATTTGAGGGGGTCTCCCTGCCCCGGGATGGGGGGACAGAGGGTCCCCATGGGCAGGGTGGTGGTGGGGCTGGCGGGTTTGGGGTCAGGTCGAGCTCTCTCTGCCGGGCCTCACACTGCTCCCCCCGTGCCTGCAGCGCTCGCCGCTGCTCCGCCGCCTCCTCCAGCCGCTGCCGCAGCCCCAGCACCAGCTCCTCGCCCTGCGCCAGCTCCGCTGCGGGACGAAGGGGACAGCGGGGTCACCTGTGCGCCCCAAACCCCGACACCCCAAACCCGAGCCTGCCCCACGGGGCATTGCCCCCAAAGGGCGTGCAGCTGTGGGACCCCCGAGCGGGCTACTTGGAGGGGGTGGTGGGGGATCTGCGCTCCACGCCGCCGCTCCCAGGGGATGGACAGGGGGACAGGGTGTCCAGACAGACCTCACCTTGCAGAGCTGCCTTGCCGCGGGCCAGCTCAGCCCGCTGGCGCCGCAGGGCCAGCACCTCATCCCGCAGTACCGTCACATTGGCCTCCAGCGTGACCTGGGGAGAGGGGACACGGCGGCATGGGGACAGGGCTGGGCAGTGTCCTCCTGTCTCTTCATCTGCTACCAGAGCCCTGCCCCTCCTCACCACCTCCCCCTGTCCCCAAGCTGTCCCCAAGCTGTCCCCATGCTCCTGGTGGCCTTGGGTCCCCCCGTCCCATTTCTTGAAGGGGTAGGGACATGGATTTGGGGAAAATCCCTCTTCCCTGGAGGGATGGCTCAGCCTGAGCTTGGTGAGGATGCTGCTGCACCAGGGATGTCACGGGAGCCCCGGGCCACCCAAGCACCCCATGGGTGGCATCCCCAGTGCCTGGGAGGGGATGGGGCTCCCTCCAGCCAGGTCCCCGAGAGGCTGCACAGCCCAGCCCCACTCCCGGCACCAGCCCCGGGAAGCCGGAGCACTTTTCCAGCCTCTCCGGGCCATTGTTCGGCCGGATGAACCCGGAGGGGCGGCAGGACCTGGCTTTTCCTCCGGGCTGTGGCCGCGGCGCTGGGGCCAGGCCCTTTCCCAGCCGGGGCCGCAGCTAAAAATACCTGGGAGGAGAGAAACGGCAGCTCCGCACCGGCTCCGGCCCCCGCTGCTGCTTTGGGATGGGGTAATTATATGTGTGCGGAGCAGCTCGGCCACGGCTAAGAATAGCTGCCTCCGGTCGGGCATGGGCACCCGGGCAGGGAGATGGTGGGACCAGGGCTGTGCCGAGGGACTGGGAGCAGCCGGGGCTCCCCTCTTGGGGTGTCCCATGCAGGATGGCGGCCAGGCACCCCCGGGGTGCTGCCGGTCCCCCTCTCCCGGGGCTGCCTCTCCCCCTTCCCAGCTCATCTTTGCAGCCGGCCTTTGCTCTCTGGGGGTTGCTCATCTGCAGCGTCCTTCCCATCAGTGCCGGGGCTTTCCACCAGCCTGCTCAAAATTCCCCCGGGGATGAAGCATCGGTCCTGGCTCCTGAGCTCCCCCAGAAACCCCCCTCTCCGCCCCAGCATCACTCGCCCCTGGCATGCAGCTGGGTGGCCGAGGACCCCCCTGTCCCCATGCCCGCCAGCACCTACCGCCTGCTCCCGGCAGGACGCCAGGCTGGCATTGAGCTTCTTGCCCTCGCCATGGGCCTGGGCCATCTCCCGCCGCAGAGCATCCTCCGCCTGAGCGCCCGCCGCCA